GGTTCCCAACTTTACATCATTAAAGCATGTTTACAGCCTGGTACAAAAAGGATTTGGGCCTCTATGGATAGTTTCCACTTCAGAGCTGCTGTACATGGATGTATTTTTTTCTTATTTTACAACTCATCCACCTGGAGTTAGGTGTGTGTTCCCTGTGGATTGGCAGTCATCTCGAAACTGTCAACCTTAGGCTTTCAGGTGTCGGCTAATTTCAGGCACTGAGTTGAACTTCTTCAGCCCAGTAAATCAATTCCAGATGTATTAAAAAGATAATGTGACTCTCCCTATATGTGTTGTTGTTTATTAATATACCTGGTTGGACTGGCCGAGTAAAGTCTGTGTGTTTCTTACTTACTGCATTTCTTACTTATGAAAATAATTTGTTCTATTGTTCAAGACTCTTTCCTACGTTTCCCAGAGATCACAGGGTGCTTTTACTACGTGTCGGGGAAGGATGATGTGTTTTATTCTGGTCTGTGGAAAAACTGGTGCATTTTATTGCTACTGCAGCATTGCCCCGTACGGTTACAGAACTATGTAACAGGAATATCAAGAGTTATATATATAGAGAGAGATGTACACCCAAACAGTGAAACAGACCAAAAATACAGGTTTGCTTTCCAGTAACTGCCTGCACAGAATTTTATGCATTCTGGTCCATTCTTCATCTGCCTACCCCGAAATGTTTCTTCTTTTTTGTTCTTTTTTCAAACAAAGCAGGAGGAGGTGGAAAATCAAACAACCATAGAAGAGGTGGAATGATTGACCACCCGTTCTGAGTGGTTTTTATCTCGACCTCCTCAGAAAGTTCTTTTGATGCTTCACCCCCTCATTCACTTGAGTGGAACTCAGTGTCGGTTGGAAACACATTTCAGTGATATCACTTAACCCCTCATCTATCCATAGCCAAGCTTGTGATCGAGGTTAGGCATGTGGGCGGGGGCCACAAGCAGAAGGCTGAAATTCGTCTCGGATTAAGATGTTTATGAAGTGTGTCTCCTTAAACTGATCAGTCGTGTTTGTTTGACTGGGGAAGTTTAAAGCTTGTGTATGCATGTTGGCAGCAGTGTGTTGCTGCGCCTACTGTGCAGATGGTATAGCAACATAACCTCATCCTGCTTTACTGACTGGCCAATTTGCTAAAGAGCCCACCAAAAGCACACCTGCTGCAGCATGCTAATGACTTGCCCTGGATCTGTTAAATAATTTATGTCTCGCACCTATTTCCCGCATCTCCTTGTGAAATTAGACGGGTATTTTTCGTGGTGACGTAGTCAGCACACCCTCTTTTTTTTCTTGTTAATCTCAACTGCATGTAGTGGCGGATAAGCACAGAAATAAGAGAACTGGGAGAGCTCCTTGTCTGTAGGCATGCAGATTAAGTGACTAGGCCACCATATGGCCAGAAGATGAACACTGATTTTTTTTGATTTTTTTTTTATGGGCTAGTTTAAAAATAAGCAGGGTGGGGCAATCACACATCCTAAACAACAGCAGCTGTAGCTCTTTGCTGACTAGCTTTAGACTTATTGCCCAGCCCACTGAGAGCTGTGACAGGTATATTGTCGCTGAAACTGTGGGACGCTCTGGATTTAACAGGGCTTCCTTCCCTCACATTTCGAAGGGCTTATTATGGACCCGTCTTCACGGAGGCCAACAATAGAGTCTTTCAGTCGGCCATGGCAGGGCTGGAAACCTTACACTGGCGGGGCTGGAAACATTTCTGGTTTGCAAATTAGCCTAATCTTAACCCACCCAGGCAAGACGAGCATTGATCCAACAAAGGAAACTTCTGTGGCAGAAACCTCTCAGTCTCCAGGGGTGTGGAGATCACTTTGCAGAGGTTCAGTTATCAACATGTAGCACATGAAATGGGACATCATTCCTTACAGCTTCCCGAGGTCCTCCTTAGCTTTCTCATTATGGGTTATTTAACAGTTTACTGACTTTGGGTCATTGAGTGGTTAGTGGTTGTCAAACACTAAGAAAAGACCAATTTGATATGATGCTATCCAGTGTGGCCTGTCAGTAATCAGCCACAGTTTCCATCAGTGCGGTGATGTAGATTTAATTATAATGGGGCGGGGATAAAGATGGCTGTTGGTCTCCAGCCATATGCTGGCCTCGGGCCCCCTGGGACTCAGCCCACAGCTTAATAATAAGCAGCCCTGCAGGAATTAGTGCTACTTTAACCACAGTGTTTTGACTGATGGGAGAGGTCAGCTGCTCAATGATTGAGTGCAGAAAGGTGTAATAACATAAAGATAGTGAGAAGTGAAAAAAAAATGCTCAGTGCATTGTGGTAAACCCTGACTATGTCTTTTGCACTAAGGGGGAGAGAAAACAACTGAAGGAAAGGGAAGTTGGATGTGAGGCAGAGTTTAACCTCTGAGTTGAAGACAATATCAGTCTTTTGTTCTCAGTTTTCTACTGCATGTGTTTCCAGAATGAATGCATACTGTATATTTAGTGCAGTAAGCTGACTCACCACTCCAAAGGACTTCCATCTATCAGTTGCTGCTACATCAGCATCTCTTTAGACATTATCAGTGGATTGATCTTAATAGAACTCACCCACTGTGCTGTGTGGTAGCCTCAGTGCAGACAAGGAGCAAGCAACAGGGGGCAAATTAGTTGTGGCCTGCCTCTGGCCTCTTTACTTACCGTGGTGACCTAAAGTCTGCCTCAAAAAATGGAAGCTGTGGTTTGGCAGAACTAATGCTTCCACCAGACAGGGTACATTGATTCTGAGGTGAAATGCAGATGGAAGAGAGATGAAACCCATTTTTAAACTGGCACAGTGATCCATAATGTTATAAAGTATCTGTGCTTCATTAACATACCCATTTATAGATGTATTGATTGAGGCTGGCTATGCCCAATGTTGTTCCAACTGAGCTAAGGTTAGGCATCTCCAGAGAGCCAGGTCCACTACACTTGCTGTGTTTGTTTCCATACGGCTTATCAAAGATTGAACAATGATTGAAGATTGAGTGATGTCAGTCACTCAGCATCACTGCCCTATTGCTTGATGTAGCCTCAAACTGCAAAGAACAGGTCATCGTTGCAACACT